TGTGTACAAGCTGGTTAGATTGTCAAAAAGCCTGTGTTTTTAGGGTTATTAACAACATTTGTGTACTCAGACCAGTAATATTTGGGGTCACAAATTGTGGCCATGGATATTTTGTGGGTCAGAAGATAAAAAGTTTGGGAACCACTGATCTAGAGTATACTTTGTTGACCAACATGATACTCYAGCACAGAAAAGTCATGGAGTTGATAAATGAATCTTTAAATCTGTAATTTCCCTTCATGGGATCAATAAARTATCATTCAGTTCAGTAATACGTACATGTATTCTGCAGCGTCAAACTCACCTCCTGGTGGTAAAACTGCAGGCATCAGATGTGTAAGTGGGACAGAAAATGTGACTTGACAGTCACAGTTGGTAAAAATCAAAAGTTCCCAAAGCAAACCCTTGAGATTCAGGGGGAAATGCTTGGGGTCATTTTTGACCCCACTTATGAAAAAGTGGGGTAGTGACACAAAAACTGCAATTTCTTAAAATGTATGAAAACATTTTTAAAAATTCAAATGGCTTCAGGTCACAAACCGTTTTTTTTAGGAATACCTGTAAYATAGAAGTGTAAAACCTTTTGATTTCAGAGATTTTTAAGAATAACAACCCCCGGGGTCATTTTTGACCCCACTTATGCATACAAGGGTTAAAATGGCCCTGCATACGGTTCTGTTTGTTGTTCTGGACAGTGTAGTGGTTTATTAACTAACTTGAACAAATCAGGATTTTTTATTTTTTTATTTTTATTTTTTATTTTTGCTTTACATTTTAAGGATTTCCCTCTTGTAACCAAGTAAAAATACTAGAATCGAAGAGTGAACCAGTTTTCAGTAGATAATCGTGTTCTCATAAGTTCTCAGGGTGTCAGGATGAGAACCAGTAGGTCTGTTCAGGATGAGTGAGTCGTTGGAAGAGTTCAGAGAAGCTCCTGCAGGACAGGAGGCCAGAGGAAGGAGAAGCTTTGGGACTAAAAATAACTTCTCTGAATTGGCAGAGGGTTGTGGGGGGTTTTCTGGCCTGGAGCTGCGCGGTCRCTTTGGATGGCTGTCGGTGATTGTGATTAAACGTGTTATTTATTGTTGAGTCAGCACATCCTTACTTTGTCGGAGCCGGCCTCCTCTGACTGAACGCTGCCAAGATTCCTGAGCTGATCTGCCAAATCATATTCAGAAAGTGGGTTTCTTCTTTTGTTGTCTCTCAACACAGCATAAGTCCAAACATAGCTTCAGTGATTTATGCAAGGAAGTTTTATTTTTGTTTCGGCTCYTTGAGAAATGGCAGCTTTACTGTGTTTTTTTTTTCTTCTTTTGTTTTAGTATCTGAAAGGAATTTTTACTCCTACCACTGTGTTATACCTGATTGTTCAAGCTTCAGTTCTGACGTACTACACCTGTCATGTGACAATATATTTCAGTGCATTGTTCTGTTAATCTAATGTTAAAGCTACTTGTTTTTTTACTTTATACTTCTTACTTTATGTACTATGTAGTTTGGCTTTGATGCTTATACAGTATGTAGTCTGACAGCTCATTATTTTGATTATATGGCATCATTAAAGAAAAAAAGTTATTTTTCTGTGCTGCATTTAGTGGCTCACATTAATTGGACTCAGCTATAAATTCRTTTCTTTTTGTGCTTTTGATGCCGAGTACTTACAAAATGATTTATTTAAATTTTACAGAAATAAGTAGGTCCTCTGAATGGGTTTTATTAAAGAAAAATCC